ATGGTTGAGGACGGAATAGAAGAAGCTTTCGCTTAACGGGCTTCCGTGTCTGGTAGCAGTGGATCACCAATACCTCCAGGCAAGGACCTAGGTATATGAACGATAATAGAGGGGAAAAAAGAATTTGGTAAATCATAATAATATGTTATCCTTAGTCCTTAAGAATAAGTCAAGTTTCCTCTTAAAGGACTCCTGGGAAGTCGCTTGGACTAGCTCAGTCGGCAGCGAATTCCAGCACTTGACAACTCTAACGGAGTAGAAGTTGTGTCTGCAGTCTGTTCTGCTATGTAGGGTCTCCAATTTCTGGGTGTTACCTCTGAGGTTAGTGTTATGACTAAGCTTAAGAAGTTGTTTAAGGGGATGACCAGAAGTAATAAGGATACTATAAGTCATAAGAAGATCACCTCTAAGACGCCTATACTCTAACGGGTAAAGGTTAGGTGATTTGAGGCGCTCTTTATAAGGTTTGAATTTGAGACCCCGAACTGATTTCGTGGCTCATCGTTGTATACGTTCCAGATTGACCTTATCCTTTTGGAGGGAGGGAGGAAATACTATGTTTCCGTACTCTAAGTGGGGACGAATAAAACTGTTGAAGATTATATGGAAGGTTCTACCGTCAAACTGGCCAAAAATGCGCTTCAATGTTTCCAGTGCAAGGTTTGCTTGAGAGGCGTTTTTGTCACAGTTCGCATACGATTTCAGGTCGTAGGGTACCAACACTCCTAAATCTTTTTCAACTTGGGAAACTTCTAGAGGTGAATTACCTAAGTTATAACTATAGTCTGCAACATGTCTCAGATGGACTACCTTGTACTTTGAAGTGTTGAAGGTAAGTCCGTTGTCGTCTGCCCAACTTTGAAGTCGGGTCAGATCCTCCTGAAGAACTAGTATATCATTATGATTACGTATCTCTCTCCAAAGTTTCACATCATCAGCAAAAAGCCATAAGTCAGATGAAACTTGTTAAGGAAGATCGTTAATGTAAATCAAGAAGAGAAGAGGTCCTAGTATTGAACCCTGGGGGACCCCACTAGGACATTCCATAGCCTGAGAGAGAGTGAAGTTAACCCTGACCTTAAAGTGTCGGTTTTCTAAATATGAAGAGAGCCAATCAATTAAAGGGGGTTTTATACCCAATCGTCCAAGCTTCTTGATAAGACATGCATGGTTGACCCTATCAAAAGCTTTTGAGAAGTCCAGGTAGATGACGTCAACCTTCCCCTTGCGATCAAGGATGGTTGTCCATCTATCCACCATCTATCCATCAGCAGGTTGGTTATACAAGAATGACCTTTTCTGAAACCATGCTGTTGAGGCGAGAAGAACTTTGAGGATGATAAGTGTTCTAGTATGCCGTCGAATACTAGGGATTCCATAATTTTTGAAGGTATGGAGAGAAGGGCCACTGGTCGGTAGCTTGAGGGTTCACTGCGTCGACCTCCTTTGAAAATTGGTGTGATGTGGGCCAGCTTCCATATTTCCGGTAGTTTGCCTCTGCTTAGCGAGTGTGCAAACATCACGCTAAGTGGTGTCGCCAGGATTGAAGCTGCTTCCCTCAATACAGCGGAATGAACCATGTCCGGACCAGGAGAAGTGTCTTTTCTTAGGTTCTGCAGTTTACGGAGCACCAGGTCAGCACTCAGGTCCACTTCGGAAAGTCCTGTAGAAGTGCAGGTGAAGCTTTCGTCAGTATGGTTGATGTGGGTCAGCTGGAATGTCCGGGAGTAATGTTCAGCCAAAAGGTTAGCGGCATCACTGCCGTTGTTGGTCGGGCCATTAGGACCAAGCAGTTGGGAAACTCCAGTTTTGCCTTGTCGAAGAGAAGCTGCATAACTGAACAAGCTTTTCTGATTGGAGACGAATTTATCGATAAGCTTGGTCTGGAACTGAAGCCTGTCTTCTCTTATTGCCTTTGTGCATATGTTCCTTATATGTTTGTATTGCCTGTACGCGCCGTTGTTATCAGTTCGTTTATATTCAGCCCAACAGTGCCTTTTGCGGCTTAGCAAACGACGAGTGCGGTTCTTGATGATTGGAGGTTGCTTGTAGCTTTTTGGGACCATTTTAGGAACTGAATGCTCAGTAGCACATAAGATCGTGTGCAGTAAAAAATCCCAATGAGCATCCACTTCAATTTGAGGGTGAACATCCCAATCCACCTGTTGTAGATAGTCCTGTAAAGCTAACACAATCAACCGTTTGAAGTTCCAGCGCTTGTTGCTAGTAGGATATCGTAGCTCCGTTTTGCTGACAAAGCTGAATGACAAGACGGCGTGATCACTTTTCCTCAGGGGAGCCAGGATTGAGAGGTCGTCAACTAAGAATTCTTCATTTGTGAATACCCAGTCTAAGCGTGACGGCGTCTGACTGTTTCTCCCGACTTCACATTTTCAAATAATCCCAGGTCGCCGATAAGGTTGAAGAACAGAGCTTCAGTAGAGTTGGCACCACCAATGTATGTATGTTCCACGAAGATGATTCTAGGGAGATTGAAATCCCATAGAATCAGGATATGAGAGAATCCGAGACGCGTAGAGCGAGTTAATCCTTCCAGCAGACGTTTGTCATATTCGATGTCGACAGTGGGCTTCCTGTAAACGACCCCAACTAGGCACCTCGAGGTGGTAGATAATCTTACTGAGCACCATACTGACTCGTCAAGATTGTGAAACTCTTGGTTGTGAAGTTGGTGCGCATCCAGGCATGTATAGTGCTACCCCACCCCCCATTCCTGTTTTTCTGTCGTTGCGAAATAAAGACATCCCAGTTATTGCTAACTCTTGGTTCGTAAACTGAGACGTTATCCAAGTTTCGGATATTCCTATCACATGAGCATCATTAGCGTTGCTAAGTTCACGTAGCTCATCTATTTTGTTCGGCAAGCTCGCGGCGTTCGTGTATAGGCAGTTTATGCTTTCAATTTGGAACGCGTGAGCCTCTTCTTGTTTGTCTATATGAGCCGTGTGTGAGTGGACAGGTAGCCTACCTATACGATGTTTACCGAGTTGGTAGTCCCTGTCCTTTACACGTTTTTTTTATGATCAAGACAGTCCACGAGTAGAATTGTCAGCTCCAGCTTTCGTTTGTGCTTGATCCTGCTGTCGTGGGGCCTATCCGGATGCATATGGATGCCAGTTGGCAACCGACGTCTATTGGCACCAAATGCTTCCAGAGTTGCAGTCGCCATGTGGGAGGAGGGGAAGGTTATCTTCAACAGCCGGGGCCTAAAATCTCCTTCTCTCTTGGCCAGTCTCATTACCTGTTGGGTCAATATGTTCTTGAGTTTTAAGGAATGCTTGATGAATTTCCATTCTCGAATATCAGAGTTTGCTTGAGTTGGGTCCATATTTTCCGGCACACCTTGCACAATGATATTTCGTCCACGGAAAAACGCCTCGCGAGATTCCTTAGGGATGTTCCGGATGAGATTTCGTTCAGAATACGGTATGTCGGGCAGTATTCTTACGTTCCCATCGGACTTCAGTAAGTGACTGGCTAGCAGGACGTCCTCTACGTCGGAGGCATTCTTAAGTGTAACACGAAGCAGCCTCGGGTGGTTTAGGTGGTCAGAGTCCTTCACTCGAGTGAGCCGTGTGACGGTCAAAGGCTCTATTCTAGGGAGTTCAAGCCTCTTGTTTAATTCTCCCCAGAGCATCCTGTCGTTTTTGTCCTGCAAACTGAGAGGAAGGTTGGGGTTGTCAATAAGGTTCATGATTATGACAGAGTCATCACGAACCGCAATTGATTTCCCAGGTTTTCCAGGGCGTCTAGGTTTGGTATTTTGTTGTTTGGATGTCGAGGCGCGTTTTCGATTCCTGGGCTCAGTGATGACCGGGCGGACAGTCTTGGGTGTAGACTGTGCGGCCAAAGCATCAATTGATTTCCGCACGATACTTGGGACGTTCAGTTTCGGAGGGGACGCTTGGGCTTTATTACTCCTGTTAACGTGAGTCCATCCACCTACAGGGTTTTTGGGAACCACTGTCTCATTCAAGGACCGTTCCCCGGGGGACCGAAGTTTACTGAGGGAGTCGATGACAGTCGATGTTAAGATGGTGCTGAGTTTCAGCACTCGTGCTGTTAACAGCACCGTCGATAACCGATCAGTCAGTATCCTTTTTCTTATTTGCCCTATGCGTTCCAGCTTTGTTACCCGTCATGATGATATCATTTACCGAATTCTTAGACAACTTATCTCTCAGACCTGTCAGTAAAGTAATGATAGTACCCAACATAACTACCGTATCGGAGTTGCAGGTAACACATACCCACCTACGATCAGACTTGCTGAGTCTGCTATAGACTGCTGCTGTTAGATCTGTAAATGCCTCATGGAACCAACCTTTACAGTTGTCACATTGCATGCCAGATGTAACGGCAAAACGGCAACCAGGTCTCTTGCATGAATTTTTCATGGCTAGTGATTTAGACTGTCTTAAAAATACAAGCAGTAAATTTAGGACCGTTAAAAAAACACACAGTAAACAAAAACTGGCAGAAATGTATAAAAACAGTTAACGATAAGCTAAAGCTAGCCTTTACGTGAAAACTATAAAAAAAACCGATAGTGAGCTGAGGGAAAACCACAGTTAACTATTAATTTGAGTGAGACACAAAAAAAGAAGTAATCTACCGAACGTATAGCTCAGAATAGATTCTTTGGATTGGAAATGATACTTTTGTTGCGTAAGAACACAGCAAAAGTTTGAGAAATGCAAATCACGTTAGGACTAAACTTCCCGTTCGAATAGCGCGCTTTTTTAGTTCTAGTAGTGGTCCATGGAGGTATGGACTAGGTGCTTCCGAATGAATAATGAACCAACTAAGAGAGTTTCGTCGCTAGGACCAGCAAAGATCTCACACGCTTTTCTTTTCACCTAATAGAATCGAGTTTCAAGGACAGACGTTTTAAGTACAGTAATAAAGACACTCAGACGACCTTGCAAGATATGTACAACTTTTAAAGTATTATGACCATGGATCATTAGGATGTCGATATGTCCTCACCAAATATCAACAATTTAAACTTCAACTTACTACTTGATGAGATTGAATCGGGTAGCAGTGGTTCGTTGGCAAATGTTATTCGCAAGCTACGAGAGAGTGAATTGGCAGCTTTCAAAGCTCGTATAGGAGGCCCAACAGGTGAACTGCTAGCCAATTTCATAGCATCCCTTGATCTGCGCGCATCAGAGCATAATGCGGAAATAGAAAAGACCTGCAGCTATCACTACCAAAGTTTTGTTGATTCCACACGTGAGTTACTTGATATCCAACAAAATGCAGAAAAGCTCGAAAACGATTTACAAGCACTAAATGTGGAGCTGGAAGTAACAGTTAATAAGGTGAGACTTTTTTTTTTATCATCCATTTGGCTATTCTAATAATACATCTTACAATAATTCTCAGTCATAAATTTCCTTAGTTCGGACGGAGTTGAAAACTGTATTTTACATGTAGATGATATATCATGGGTTAGATGCTAAAATCCAGATACAATATCTGAATTTTTCATCTCACCCATAGCCAGCGTTGTTTTGCCTAGACTGTGGAGAAATTCCGCGATTTTCGGCCACTCATAAAATCGATGTAGTGTATCTGAACATCAACTGATGTACTACCCAACTGTCAATATATATATATATATATATATATATATATATATATACTTTGGTGTCCACGAGCGAAGACTTAAATACGTAAAAGCAATAGTCGAGCCAAAGGGAAAGAAATTAATCAATAAATGCTGTGCTGATTCTTCAGAAAAAGTCCAAAGAACTCTGTAGTTAACTAATTGTCCTCAGAATAAGAGATTTCCATGACATTTAAATATTGTACTCAATACAATCGGTTATATTTAGACCCTGGCCTGTGGATATTCCTTATTTATTCTGTTGAGGCTAAACGAGTGCTTTGGTGACTGAGTATTCTAAGTCAGTAGGTCAAGTTCTTGTCTCTAATCCGTATAATAAAGACTAAGGGTTGTATTCTCTTTCGTATGTTTCGGAACAGAGTCGATCAGGAGAACCTAGCAAATAACATATGGTAGGATCTAAATGTTTATTTCCAAAGATAAATTAGGATGTTTATGTCCATCTTTTGTGGTTTTAGAAGTTTGTTAGAAATCTGGCTATAACTCTTGAGGTCTCACCTGGAATTCGTTCAATAGTTATTAACTACAAATCGGCAAAAATGTTTCCATCAACACTGGTATATGCGAAATTTGTTTTTAGTAATATATTGTGGTAGGTCATATTGTACAGGTTAATGAATTAACATTTTAAAAAAATTTTGTACTGTTCTACGATATCGAAAAGTTAGCTTTCAGTGATGTCGTGGCTTTATTTACTGTCAGAGAAGCTAAATTTTTATGCATTCAAGTCTTCAGTGAAGATATATTGCCTGATTTGAGGCAAACGATCATCGTTTTTTTAACGTATAATTATCATAAGAAATATCAGTAAATGGCTTTTTGGGGATAATATCAGTCAAACTGTTGCAGCAATTGTTGTGAGACATCCCAGGAACTCTTGATCGTTTAGCTATTGAGTGTGAAATTAATAAGATGTAGGAGGGTGATATATAATCAAATTCGTCTGAATTATACTCTCCTCCCGTTAAATAACAATAGTCGATTCTTGACCGTAAATCTATAAGAAAGTAACACATTTATTTACGTATGGTTGTTCGCACCACTTAGTTCTCACAACTCTATTTTTAATTAATCAATTTTACGGATTCATGAAAGAGCCTTTGTTGTTGTTTATTTTAAACATTCGGAACAGTGGCTGGTGTCAGATAAAAACTCAAGTAGCGGGTTAGAGAACCTAATAATTCGTAATTTCTAGGTTGTCTCCACTTTTTAGTGGCATGTAGTTCACTAGACAAGTAATTAGTCCTGGTCTGTTTTAGTTCAGCTGAAATCGATTTTCTTTGTGGTTTTTTGTGCTGATCATAATTACTGGTAGCCAAAGTGCGGGGAACTCCTCAGTTGTTGAATGTTATTTCGACCTATTTAGGTAGATTCATATCCGTTGACTGGATTCCACGGGATAGCCATAATATGTGATTAGCAAATTTAAGTAATGCAATCCTAAACTAGTCAGTGTTGTCAAAATACATCAATTCATTCTTTGCACTCAGGTCTCTGCATCGATGTCCGTTTTGATCGCGTGTAGTGATGTTTTATTTTATTTTATTTAAACACATAAATATTGGTACAAGGAAGCACCAGATACATATGCGCTGCACAAATCTTATTTGATTTGTGTGAGGGCTGTGATACTACCCAGGTGCCCGAACTGAAGCAGGTGGTTTTCTTAGGGGCCCACATCAGGAGCCTTTGACCTGAAGGTCTGATACACAAGACAGTGGAGCATCGTAAGGAGATGTAGTCCCATGGTAGCCGGTGACCAACGATTGATTTATACGCCATTTATTTCCTCATGATATTGGAGCCCATGTGCACCATTGGTTTGGAATCAGGGTTTTCCAACTCCCCTAGGTGGACTTTCTGTGTCCACCAACCCGGTTAAAGCTCCGGACATTCGCTTTTCGTCCTCTCAATTTCGTAAACAACAGTAATGCCACGAGAAGGCAGTGAGTAGGACTTCCCTGTCAGAGGCTATATACATGTGGCCATGTGAGAGCATTTGGGGGCGTGTAGTGATGTAGTCTAGTACACTAACCATTCCACTTACCTTGAGGGTCTCATCAGCCTTGTTGAGTTGGTAGCTGACTAAATATCAACAATTGTGCAGAAATCACCTATATTTCCTTAATTTGAGCCATTTATACCTTAGTTGAGTTGTCCATTTGTAACAAAGGTCTGTGTTTTGCTTCGTAGCTATGAAATATTTAGTATTTGGCCATTAGTATCTTCGAAGCATTGCTCGTAGATGGTTGAATAACTGAATGAATATTGTTAGAGTTAAATGTAGGGTCGTAAATGGATATAGAGAATCGTCAGTGTGGATGTAATTCTTAATCTACAGCCTACCCAGTTTCCGGTGTTGGAAAGCACAGAAAGAAATTGTGAAAATCTCACAGGAAATCTTGGAAATAATCCATTTTATGCTTAACTCTGTCGATAGGAAAATACTTCCCAGTTGAGGTCCGTGCGATGTTCACTAATAATGGTTAAAAACCTTAAATGATGGCTTAAAGTCGGTTGCACTAGGATAGACATAACTGTCATTTATCTCCCTTCAAACATCATTCTTTTATCCACACACTTTACTCCGTAATTTTATGTGTCATTTTTAAAATGAATGCTTAATGTTCACTTTCTATCATCAAAAACATCAATAATGTTTAGGTCCTCTTTGCTATTCTTATCATTCTCTTGGTTTACTAATGAACTGTGTCACAAACTGGACTGATCTACACTTGTGTTCTTAGCTGACTATATTCATTATTATTTTGAGAATTATTTCGAGGATTTTATTATGTAATAGTTTTCATTCTTTGATTTTACTCTTCCAGACTTCGTTTATTGACTTATTTCTGTCAGTTCTAATTCTCTTTTGCTTTTTTTCCGTTTGTTTCATTTTACATTGTTGGTGCGAATGGTGGTAACATATACCAGTGTACATTCATTAGTCGTAGAGTCTGGCACAAATGCGCCTCAGTCCTAATTTTTATATCAGGGAAAAGGAGAGGGACTTATAGGTTATTTGAAATAGCTGTATTGCTAATAAGTGAGAAAAATTAAACATTAGATAGTATAGTTACACATTTGTATCAGGTCCTAGGTTGTTCGTGATAACCTGATTCAGGTCGTTATGCTTTATAATGATTACCTGATGCTAATGATCTTGATGCAGTTCCTCAAACAGTGTTTTCTTGTTACTAGATATGCCTCATAGGCTTTTAATAAGCTCCTTATTTCGATGCTTTCAAATACAAGACTTAGTAAACCAATAAGATTTCAGGAACGTATAAAAGACAATCCACTAGAAATCTTACTAATTGAAAATAATTATTTCACATAACAAAAGTTGGCGATTTCTAGTTACAATAGGGTTATCCTTCATTTTCGAAGTGTAGTTTATTAGCACGTAATTTTTTAAGATGTAATCCCTTCAACTGAACCTTTATGGTAAGAAATGTAGCTATGGATTTCATGTATATCGTCATTAATAATCTACATAAACGAAAATTGTAAATAAGCTAAATATCTATGGGATATCTGATTCTGTATGCAAACTATAGGAAACTGTAATCTAGTGTTCGTCGAAGAAATTGGTTTCTTTTACTTATAATATGAGTGAATGGCAGGAGATTTTGAAGTGACAAGTCCCGAGTTCAAGTCTCAGTAAGAAAGTCAAAAACGACTATTAGTAAACTCATTTCGTGATTGTAGATGTATCCCAGATTTTATTGCTAGTCACGAAATGTAACTAAAGTTTTTATTGTCATTCATGATACTTATTTATTTCCTAAATTACTAATCTCTTTTACCGTTTTTTTTTTCTTTTGATTTTTTTGCTATATGCTCTATAATGTCATTGTTTAAATTGATACGTCTAGGCTAGTTGAAAATGATGTTAAATTTACACTTTCTAAAATTACGGAAAGTTATTTTGTTCTTGTTTTTTTCAAAATGTGAGGTCAGTTTTAGATAGAAAGGAAACCAATCTGCTTTTGGGCATTTTATTGTGATGGAGTTGCATGGCCAGATTACCAAATTGTTAGGGATCCTGAAAATATCAGATAAATTTTATACTTTAAACTCGTTTAAAACACTAATCCATCTCCTATTTTTTATGCATTATAACAATTCGTATAACGCTTCGTAACAAAATTTATATCTTATAAACTCGATATGCAATATATTGTTATTTATGTGGGGAAATCCGGTGGTTTTTTATTTTTAGTTTAGTGAATCGTGTGATAAATTAGCCGCCTGTAAACTCACTTTGGATCATGTTAATCAATGTATTGAGGCAATTCAAATCAGTCTTCCGATATTAGAACAATATTCTCGCATTGAACAAAGTATTGCTGACGGAAGGTACTATCATGCCTTGAAAAATCTTGAAGACTTAGAGCATTCTCAACTGGATCTAATTCGCCCGTTCGCCTTTTCTGAAATCATCATTCATCGCATACCGAAAACAAGAACGAGAATCAAGGTTTGTCTAGCTTGTAAATTGATTTTAGCGTTTCGCTTTAGGACCCTTGCTAATTCTTGTTAATATTGATGACAAAGCACTAGAAAAAAATGTTCATTGACTTTATTTTGTAACACAGATATATAAAGGAAGAATATTCCTTCCAGTGAATTTTCTTCAGGTACTCTGAAGTTATATATTCAAAATAATAATCCAATCAGTGGCCGAGTTTAAGGAAAAATACACCGTTTAAAAATTATAGTATGTGAAATCGTGAAAGGAAACAAAAAAGAGGAATGTCGAGGAACACATTGTGTCGAGAATTGGAATCAAATATGAAAAGGATGAAAAGGATTGTCCAGGACATAATTGTTTGGAAAATGTTGGTGGTTGGCCTATGATCCTCCTTGAGGGGAATCGGATGTAAGTAGAAGTAAAAAATAATGGTAAGAATATAAGAGAAAGCACTCAGCTAATTCATTTAGCTCAGATAAAGACAAAGTATTGATTTTTAAAATTCATCTTTATAGACTAAGTTTAAATTCTGTGTTTAAGATTTTTAAATACTTTTTTTATCCAAACATGAGACTTTTATTGATAAAGATTTATTGAGACATAGATAGAAAAATTGTAGTTCAAAATGACAATCTTCTTATTGTATTGTATTATTTTAGTTGCAGGATTTTTTCGCGAAGATTTCGTAAGGTCTTCCCAAGCCACATTACCAGCACGTAGAGAAAAAGGGTTTCAGTTTTGCACTGTAATGATTCTGTGTTTATAGGAATGTTAATAGTTTTATAATTGGGTCATTTAGCCCTGTGAGTGAAACACTGGCGAAAATGACAAATAATTGTTCCTTTTTTATTGAGAAAACCTTTTAAAATTAAAGCATTAATAACAGTTCTTAATTCTTTATTTCTCTAGAATGCAAGTCTTGATGAATTAACTGATTTTCTTGAATACATACGGAAAAATTCAATAGTCCTTGGTGCATTTGCTATGCGAGAAGCAGCACAATTATCTGGAATAGATAGTGAAGCACTTTGCGATACCTTAGTAGTTAATGGATACAAAGAAACACAGGATGTAAGCAAAAAATCAAATAAAGAGTCACAACAACAAGTGACGTCAAAATCGATAGTTCATAAAGTATCTGGTTAGTAACCTTTTTAGGCGTTTTTGTCTGCGTTTATTGTAATTTTATTCATAATAGGATAAGTTATGATAATGTTGGTCTAGAACAATGTTCAAATGTGTGCAATAAAATTATCTGGCCTAGAGAACACCTCTTCAACAGAAACACATTAATCATTTCATTCATAAATGTTACTCAATTCTTCTCATGACATTAATTATTAATCCACACTTCTTGTCTTATCTTTACTCAGTTAGTTCATTTTGTTTTGCGGATTACATAACTATAACATTAATGTCTTATTTCCAAATAATTCTGTTTCTATTCTATTAGTTATGTATTCTACAGTATTATTATTATATTAAACCTGTAAATACTCACATTGTTTGGCTTATAAACAATTCTTTTAGGTCTTTCATACTTAATGCTTTTTTCATTAATCTTTACTGATGAGAAATTTTCCGGTATTATGATATAACATATGTAAGGTGATTTTTAATGATGAATGTTATTATGTTTAAGTTGTAAGCAGATAATTAGAAACCACGAAATATAGTAATTTATTGTTATTCTGCCACGTTAATGGTTTTTGCTTTAATCAAATTTATAAATGAGGTAAATTGTATAAAACAACTGAGGTAGCTTAACTTTGTGCCCCCAAATGCCCTAGTACGGCCGAGAGTGGGGAGTGTCCGCTCTCCCTCTCGAAATGCTCTCACATGGCCACATGTATATAGCCTCTGACAGGGAAGTCCTACCCACTGCCTTCTCGTGGCATTACTGTTGTTTACGAAATTGAGAGGACGAAAAGCGAATGTCCGGAGCTTTAACCGGGTTGGTGGACACAGAAAGTCCACCTAGGGGAGTTGGAAAACCCTGATTCCAAACCAATGGTGCACATGGGCTCCAATATCCTGAGGAAATAAATGGCGTATAAATCAATCGTTGGTCACCGGCTACCATGTGACTACATCTCCTTACGATGCTCCACTGTCTTGTGTATCAGACCTTCAGGTCAAAGGCTCCTGATGTGGGCCCCTAAGAAAACCACCTGCTTCAGTTCGGGCACCTGGGTAGTATCACAGCCCTCACACAAATCAAATAAGATTTGTGCAGCGCATATGTATCTGGTGCTTCCTTGTACCAATATTTATGCGTTTGAATAAATAAATAAATAAAACTTGACTTTGTTGTGGAGTAGACTTTTCAATAAAAAAGTTTACATTTGAGCTTTACAGATATTCATGTATTTGTACTAAACTTCGTAGTTTCACAGTACCCATGCAAATATCAATATGAAATATATCCGAATCGATTTCGTAACTTACAACATGATACATGGGTATATACATGATTATTGATTGATATTCCATTTGATCAACAATTAATATCTACACATTGTGTGGCATATTTGAATATTCAAGCAATTTCTTAACATCTTGATGAATTAAACTTTTCGCAGGCATTTTTCTAAATAGTTTTTCATATACATATAATCATTCGTCTACTGAAATAGATACTATTTGACTTGGGTAGTTGTCAAAGTTAGGCCAATTCTGAGATTCATTTCGTCATGGAATAATATAAGTTGAAACACTTTTAAAACAAGGGGTCACTAAATAGTTGTTATAACCTAGTTTGATATTACACCTTTTTAGTGAGTATGCATGACTCAATTATGCATCGAAGCCAGGACTGCAGAACTTTAATTTCTTAGAATTTTGTTTAATAAAAAAATCAGAATTTGGTTTTAATTAAAGAGTTATTTTCATCCTCATACTTCATATTATACTACATCATTCCGTGTAAAATGTCAGTAAGAGAATTTAGATAGTTACAAAATTTATATATGTGGTTATTACAAATATGTATATACGCATATATTACAAGTCAACTGTCAGTCAACACCAGTTTTTATATCCTAGTCACCAACCAGTTATAGAACTCAGATGGGGGATTAAAATGACTACAATAAAATTTAAGTACATTACACACAACTCTAAATTAGTCTTGATTTTGTAGAATGTTTGGTCAGTTACTATTTGAATGTGAAATGTTAGTGGACTCAGCTTCCAGTTTCATTGAATCCAGGCCAAGTATTCTTAAAAAACACATTACATATCCCAACTTCCTGAATTGTACTTCAAAACTAAGCCGATAAACTTGCACTTAATAGCTGATTTACTGTAATTCATATCAATATTCGGACACGCACATATTGGCATTTAATTGCATCACAATAAAAAGTGTATTTCCATAAGGAATTTATTGCATATTTTGTCGTTTCTCATGTTATAAGTTGTTCACTGCCGTATTATGTCATACGTATATTTACTTTTTGCTCACTGACCCATTCACCCATTCTCTCTTTATCACCATTTGCTTATTCAGTTAATACAAATACTGATAGTTTAGATAATGAATTAGAAATGTTAACTCAAATTGTTGCAAATACAAGTCGTTCATGCAATACTAATGATGATCATGGTGAAACAGAAATAACAATAAAAACTCAAATAAATGTTAATGATAATGATAAAAGTTGTAATCGAACATATTCAAAAGTGGAGGATTTAGTCGATTTCGGACCAGTGTATCGATGTCTGCATATTCATTCTGTATTGAATGAACGAGCGGAATTTGAACGACATTATTGTACTCAACGACGAAAACAGTGTCAATTAATTTTAAGTTTATCACCAAATCAACAAGTGAGTCGTTGTTTTTATTATGTACACTTATTATTGATGATCATAATTACTTATATTAGTATGCTATTTTAAATGCAGATCGATTAATGTAAATGACAGCCAGTTAATTGAAGGTAATACTCTTCAACGAGTTCGTTTTTGAATGTGTGCACTCGTGTTCATTTATTTATGATTCTAAATATAATTAATAAAGTAAAATGTGAGGGATCAATTGTGTCTTCTATTCTGAGATTTTTAATAGATTCAGGATATTTCGACACAAACCTACTGATCGATATAATTTATAAGATCCGCCTGAAGATTTTTAGAAATTTATTACTTTTTAAATTGCAAAATTATAAAGATTGTTTAAGCTAGAATTCTTTGAGATGTTGGTGATTTGCAGCTCCAGTGGATGATTTTCGTAGGGTTTCGTTCTCTGAGATGGATGGTTTGGTCATGGGGCTTTCATCGTTATTCTGGAAGACATCATCAGCACAAACTTTAAGTAGAAGTGAAGTGTTCGAATTTCTCCACATATGGCTCACAGCTTGTCCTTTAGACCTCGGTCTTGATTGGTTATTGTTGACCTTTAACCTGTCATTGTTTGCTTCTTTATTTTGATTATATCTCCTATCGATTTGATTCTTGGTCCTATATTTGTCCATAAGTTTTCTGATTGGTTGATAAATTGGATCAATTTCAGTGTGTTTATTGTTTGCTGATTGACCTGAGTGCCAATCTAAAAATTCTCTGGTGTTTTTAGAATTGTCTCTATCCAAGATCTCAACATTCTCCAGTCGAATGTGTGTCCACATGCGTTGATATAAGTAAGGATATGCCATGGCGTTTAACCGCTACTTGATGTTCATGCAGGCGAAGATAAATTGGGCATCTGTTTTGTCCGATGTAGTGTTTTTCTCAGTTGGAACAATTTATTTCGTAGATGATGTTCGGTTTTTCTTCTTTTGTCATTCCGTCCTTTGGTTCGCATAGGATTGATTGAAGTGCTTTTGTTGGTTTGTGTGTTACACCTATTCCAAAAGGCTTAAATAATCTCGTAGTTTCTAATATACCTTTTACATATGGTAGGATGATCTGTTTGTTGGTTTTTGTACATGATTTTGTTCCTGCTGATGCGTTTGGTTGGTATCTTTTGATGAAGTTGATTGGGTAGCCGTTCTTTTGAAAGATAATCTTTAGATAATTTTCCGCGCTCCAAGTATATTACAGTGTGTCCTCGCCCTCTAGAACAAAGTTTGTATGCAGTTGATTTTGTGTGCTCTTGAGTTGTTGCTACTATAATCGAGAATTTGTTCTGTTTGGGTCGACTTCCAATATACTTGGGTCTCCAGTTTTCTTGTGTTGGTTCTGGTGTCTAATTGTCCACGAATGGTAGTTTGTTGTTTGACTCCTATTCCATTGTGAACTTGATGTCGTCAAAGGCATTGTTGATCAGATTGTAGGTATTTTCCAGCTTGTCTTTCTTGACAATGACGAATGTGTCGTCCACATAACGAATCCGAATTTTTGGCTTGATCACTGGTAAGGTCGAGGCTTCCATTCTCTGAATCACTGTTTCTGCAATAAGTCTTGATATTGGTGATCCCATCGGTGTTCCTTTCGTTCGTCCGTAGATTTTACTGTTGAATTGAAAATATATCGTTAAGCGTAAATCGATGAGTTCTAGTAAACTTTGACTTTGAAGCTTCGTGTACTTTGGGAGATTTGTGTCGTTGGTGAGAAGGGATAGAGTTTCCTTTGCTAAGTGTGGTTCAATTGAGGTGAATAAAGCTGTTACATCCGAGGATATCATCAGTTCGTTGTTGTTTTGAATGTTCTTAATCTTGTCTCGGAATTGTATGGCAGATTTGATGGAGTGATTGTATGAATCCACTAAATGTTCTAATATTCGTGAAATTTCTCTTGACAAATTGTATGTTACAAATTCATAAATTTTATCATATTCTAAACTTTTCATGAACATAAGGCTGTCGATTTCACTCTAAGTGGTAAACTCGTTAAGTTTGTGAGTGTTTATCAACTAAGGGGATTGGAATATATGTTACGTATGCCTAAGCAACCACTGGTGTAGAAGTAGGTTCAGTCAGTCAGTCACAACGTAGAACTTCGTACGTGCGTACATCAGTTCGAGTTGCCATATCACAGCACAGTGATACAATTGTCGATTCAAATCCCATAGCGGCAGAAGTAGTAAGAGTATAAACAGTAACCGAAAAGAATAGGGTTTGAAGATGTTATTCAAGAACTATAACCCAGTGAAATAAATTTTGAAAGAGTAAAGAGAAAGAGACATGAAGAATTCAGAATAGAATTTGGTAGAACACAAAGAGTGGATGCACTTTCATCATTGCAAACGATTTTAAGCCCTGTCATTCAAGGTCTCTAACCATCGATTGCTATCATCTCGCGAATCCCAACCAGGTAGTCTACACCTAACAACATGGTTCAGTCCACTTGTCAGTGACTTCATGGATTTGCTTCACGATTTGGTCTGGTCTCCCCTAACTTTCTTCCTACTCGTCGGGGCAGTCGGTGTTTGGGCATGCGTAAAATGTGTCCCAATCATCTCAACTGATTAAGTTTCACTATTTCATCATTCGATTTGCTATCCTTACCTTATACCCGTTCACTAACAACTGCATTACTTACCCGGTGATCTCAGGATATACGAGCAATGCCTCGAAGACACCTACGACCGAATACTGGTAGCCTACGAATATCCTCTACTCTTACCGGCCATGTTTCACTGCCATAAAGTAGGACGGAACAAACTGCTGCACAGCAAACTCGTCCTTTGGCTGTTAGAGGGATATCTCGCCTATGCCATAAATGACGCAAGTTGGCGAAAGCTAGTCGAGCCTTCTGTATCCGTGCTGAGATTTCGTCACACACCAGACCACAAGGGCTGATGAGACACCCAAGATAAGTGAAGCTGTCAACATGCTCAACAACTTCACTCCCTATCATTAGTTCAGGTGTCGATGAAACCCAATCCTGAAGTAACATTTTGCACTTCGAAGAGGGGAATCACATCGCGATCACGCCTGCATTGCTGCTCATAGTAGTCAAAAGACTCTGCATTTTGTCAGCGTCTTCACCAAATAGAACTATGTTATCGGCGTCTTTCAAGTCAACAAGTGAGTCTCCTGGTAGAAGTTCAAGGGCTCTAAGTTTAAATGAAGAAAGTTTTATTTCTAATAGCACGTCTACAATTAAGTTAAACAAGAATGGAGAGAGTGGACAGCCCTGACGAACGCCACTTGTGGTAATCAGTTCTGATGACAGTTCGCCATAGGCTCTAACTCGACCAGTTGTGTTCGAGTAGAGAGCCTTTATGAGGTTAATGTATTTCTTTGGTACTCCTTTCAGTGACAAACATTGCCATAGAACCTCACGATCAACGGAGTCAAATGCCGCCTTAAGGTCAAGAAATACTACTATTGTGGGACGTCTGAATTTGTGTCTATGTTCTAGGACCTGACGTAGGGTGAATATCTGGTCTATGCAACCACGTCCAGACCGAAAACCAGCCTGGTTTTCTCTAGTCTGCTCTTCACGAGCTTTGATTAGGCGTCGAAATATTATTGAAGCCAATATTTTAGACACTATGTTAGTCAAACTGATTCTTCTGTGATTGTCACAAGAGGACTTTTATCCTTTGTTATAGACTGACACAATCAGTGATTGGGACCAGTCAGATGGAATTACATCCAGTGTTTCTCCCTAACCTTATGGCTTACCTTACTAGCGGATATCACTGCTGTTTTCACAGCTTTTCGGATATCATTCCATGCTGCCTCAGTGGGCTGCCTAACTGTTTTTCTAGTTATTCCTGAAATATATTTTTAGCTTGCCTATCACTAAGTAGAATCCTAAGAGGCTTCCTTTGCAGCGTCTTTCTGACGTCTTTTCGTACTCTTAATTTCGTAAACAACACCCGTGGTGCAAGAAGGCAGTAAGTAGGACTTCCCTTGCAGAGGCTATATACGCGTGGCCATATGAGAGCATTTCGAGAGGGAGAGCGTACTCTCCCCACTCTCGGCCGTACTAGGGCATTTGGGGCATAGGGGTCAGTCGTGGAGATAAGAGAATTATTAGGTGTAGGAAGGATTTGATTGTGACCAACTTGGTCTCGTGTGCTGTCATGGATATGAGGGATAATATAACTTCCCGGCTGTCCACACCGTAGAAGGGTTTTTCTTAAGGGACCTGAAAAGAAAGTTGGAATAATGTTGGTCTTAACAACCTGGAAGCGTGACCGCAGAGTCCAAGGGACAACTGCTTGAGGCCGGTCGCGCACGGCTTTTTTGTGAGAGGCTTTCGACGTGTTAGCTCCGTTCTTCAAAGGGCTTTACCGCTGGAGACGGAAATCTGTGAGGTAAGGCAAGATGTGACATTTTTAGAGTCGACCTTTTCTAACCCCTTCCTTCTTTGAGAGAAGGCAGCATCGCTGCAGATGCCGGTTGTCCGAGGGAAACACCTTACTGCCGTCACACTTCTCTACAGTCAGCAGTACGACTTTGCCCTCAGACCTTCAGTTACTGTTTTTAGTCTCACCGTTCTATAGTCGACCTGCCTGGAATGGTAGAACGTACAGGAACATATGTTCCAGCCAATATAGCTCGGCTAGGTCATCACAATAGACAAGCCCGACCACCACGTCAAGGTAGCACCTACAGTCGGGTATGTTCAAAGAAAGCTTATGGGGTTGACCAACGAAAACGTAAAGCTGGTCCATGGGATTATTAACTGTTGGTCTGATCTACGTCGATAAATGCAGACTATCTGACTTTAGTCCACATAATGAATACAATCATTGGTCGGTGACATCGGGTGACATGTCTCATAGTAGGTTACAATATCTTTGATGCATTCCTTACTTATGTCACTCCATATCTTAGTTCTGGTATTTACTTATACGTACCTTCTCATTCTGTCTTTTACAACCATATTCTCGATGTTTACCCTTATTATCATAATTAATAAATTATTTCTGT